TGGGCCGGGCGGGAGGTCGCGCGCCGGCCGGGCCCGGGAGGCGGACACCCTCCCGGTCTTTGTCTGGCCGCCGAGCCTCATGGCGGCGGGGGCCCGAGGGACGTTTTCCGCGGCCGCACCGGCGGCGGGAAGTTAGTTGGAGAAGTTGCGGGACGCGGGACCCCGGCGGGGTCGGCTGCGGTCCGGCGTAGGCGGGAAGCGGAGGGCATCAGGCCCCTTTCCGCACTTTCCTCCTGGAGGGAGACTCACGGGCTGGTTTCTGTTGTGTTTTTTCCTCCTTCAGCCGAAGCAACTTCCTGACAAGTGGCAACATGACCTTTTCGACAGCGGCTTTGGGGGTGGTGCCGGCGTGGAGACCGGTGGGAAACTGCTGGTGTCCAACCTGGATTTCGGAGTGTCGGACGCTGACATTCAGGTGAGAGGCAGGAGCCTGTCGGTCAGCAGCTCTCGCTCGCGGACCTGATCATGTCTGGGATGCGGCCCCGAATCCGCCCGCCGTCGCACATTGAGCCCTCCGGGCTCCCGAGGGCTGGCCACTGGCCGCCGTAAAGGGCTGTTAGCGTGAAGAGCAGAGCTCGTGCTAGAGCCGAACCTGCAGCCAGCAGGTCCGTTCGTGCTGGGAAACAGGCCCCCAGCGCAGGGCGAGGAGCTGCCGCCCTTATTAAAGCCGGTCCCGTGAGCGAAGTCCTCTGCCAGAGCTTTTAGATTCTCACAGGAAAAGGCTGGTCAGTTTTGCGTGGTTCCTGTGTGCCTGATGGAGCTGGGCTGCTTGCTTGCTTTACTCTGTGCTCGTTTTCATGATGTGTTTGGAGGAGGAAGACCTCCCGCTGTAGAACTGACAGCAAGAAGCAGGCCAGCGTGTCTTTCTGGCTGTTGGCCTTGAGCCCCGTGTCTTACACGTGTCGTTCCACTCACCACCATCCCTCGGGTCTTGTTAGCAGCATGATTCTCCAACCCACCTTTGGTTGAAGCCTCTCCCCCTCCCCCCCCCTTTTTTGATTGAACCCCGAAAGCATTTAAACCTGTTTTCTGGTTAAGTGACGACATCTTGGGGGTCAGTCCTGGAGATGGCCGGGTCAGGGTTCTGGGCCTTCCTGGGTTCAGTTTCCCAGAGCCCAGCTGTGGGAGGACAGAGCAAGGCCGGTGAGCACTCACAGTGTCTCAACACTTTTTTTAAGGTGGTTTCTGGCATCCACTGGAAACCGCTTTTGGTGAACTCCACTTCCCGCTGTGTGCCTGCGGCCGGAGTAGCCCCACACTCTGGGTTCCCTCTCCAACTCCCAGCCTGCCTGAGGTCAGGGCAGTTTCCATGGCAGCGCTTGACTTCAGACTTTGCGGCAGGCTTGAGTAGGAGGAGAGGGAAAGGTGAGCCAGAATCTGCCCTGGGGGAGGGGCTGGGTCAGGGCTCCCCAGTCAGGGGGCCCTTTGAGTTGGTCCACATGTCAGACGGCGCCCCTTGTGCTGTGGTCTTGGCCTTTGCTGTTTGTTGGCACAGTCCTTGGGTGTGTTGTACACTTTCCTTTGCTGAAGAAGATAGTGACCTCATCTCATGCCCTTCACTGATGGGCTTTGCAGTCCTTCACCTGCATCGTGGTACAGATGTCAGGTCCCCAAGTTGGCAGGAGCCCTCAGGCCCAGCTGCTCCTGGAGGGGGCTGTCCCGCCTGCCCCATCCTTGCCCCCATTTCCCACTACCACTGCCCTGCCCCCAGGGAAATACCCTCAAAGTAGCTCACGCTTCCAGGGACTGTCCCTGGGCCAGCAGAAGGAAAGAGCTCTGCTGACAGTCACTGTTTCCGACTCCCAGGAACTCTTTGCTGAATTTGGCACTCTGAAGAAGGCGGCCGTGCACTACGACCGCTCCGGCCGCAGTCTGGGAACAGCCGACGTGCACTTTGAACGGAAGGCAGACGCCCTGAAAGCTATGAAACAGTACAACGGCGTTCCTCTGGATGGTGCGTTTGGGATTGGACCCAAGAAGACTGAGGGGCCACGCCTGGTTTGTGGAGTTGGGGCTGGCACCGGTCCATGCAGGAGTATGGCTCTCCCCTCTGGCTGAGGACACTTTGCACTCGCCCCTTTGTCTCTCTCCCACTCTGCCACCTCTCATGCTGCCCCACACATGTGGACCAACCTCTTGTGAACCCCCACCAGCAAGCTACATCCCTCCCCTCGTTCAGCTCCTTCCGGAAGACTCACTCCTGTGAAGCCTTCTCAGCCGCCAGAGTACACCTCTGAGTGCGGGGCTGTAGTCGTAAACAAAGGTACCAGCTCTCCTCCTGGCAGGGTGCCCACACCGTTCCACCCATGAGCAGCCTGGACACCTGACCAGGCACCCTCCTAAGCTGGACTGAGGAGCGAGGAGGTGGTGGTGGGTTGTTGTCGTTGGCGCCGTCTCTTGTCGGGAGCGATCGAGACATGCACGGCCCCTTCCCAGTGCCTGCATGGAGACCTGGGCGTGGTGCCCTGGGTGGGCGTCAGGTCTCTAACTGGAGCGTGCCCTCTCGTATTCTTTGCCACAGGCCGCCCCATGAACATTCAGCTCGTCACGTCACAGATTGACACACAACGGAGACCGGCACAGAGGTGAGTTCTGGGGCCTCTGGGCTGGGGTTGGCCTGTGGTGTGATCGCTCAGCCTTCGGGCCTGTGCATGTGTATGAAGGAGTCTCCTTTCCCTCACTAGTGTAAACAGAGGCGGGATGACTAGAAACCGTGGTTCTGGAGGCTTTGGTGGCGGCACCCGGAGAGGCGCCCGTGGAGGCAGCCGGGGCAGAGGCAGAGGCGCCGGCAGGAGTTCAAAGCAGCAGTTGTCCGCAGAGGAGTTGGACGCCCAGCTGGACGCTTACAACGCAAGAGTAAGTCCTAGACGGGCCGGAGTGGGGGCGACTGAGACCCGAGAGGGGCCTGGGACCTCCTTTCAAGCGAGAACCTCTGTTCCTCTGTTTCAGATGGACACCAGTTAAACAGCCCGGCAGGCCGTGCACAGGACAGGGCCCAGGCGACCCGTCCTCGCTCCCTGGCAGGAGGGGTGGCCAACGATGGCGTTTTCTCTCTTACGTTTTAAAATAGGATTTAAAACTCATGTAAAGGTTTTTTTTTTCTTCTTCTTTTTTTTTTTAAATTCTGAAACAGACCTGTTTTGTACTGAGTTATTTTTGGGATAAATTTTACTGGTTGCTGTTGTGGAGAAGGTGGCGTTTTCACCTTCGCCATAATAAAGTAGAAGTGTGTGTAGAACTGGAACCGTCCGATTCGTCTCCTGTTGGAGTTCTTGTGTAGGCCAGAACTTTGGTGTCGTCCCAGGCAGGAGGCAGGCACATGGGACCTCAGGGCTGTGGGGACCATCCCCACCTGGCATCCTGGCACGGGGGTTGGCGTTAGTGCTCCAGAGATGGTGGCTGCCTCTGTCTGCCCGCCAATCCTCTGACCTGGCAGGTAGGGGACACGGAACACAGTCCCTCTGCCTGCTCACTGCACCGTGAGGTAAAGGGCGGGGCACCTCGTATTGCCGCTCACCCGAGTTCAGGCGACCCTTCCTCTGGCTCTCGGGTTCCCAGAAGCCTGGCTTCAGCCACTCAGATGGCAGCATACGGCCTTACGCCCTCAGCCTTCCCATGGGCATGGAAGGAGCAGGCGGAAGGCGTGCTCTTGGCTTCCTTGTGCTGAGATCGCTTTGGAAGCTGTGGCTGAGAGCTGGAGGGTCTGGTAGGCGCGTCTGCCCATGTGGACCACCCTCTGCACAATTGCACAGGCCAGGGCCTCACGTGGGGTGCAGTTTAGGAGGAGCTGAGAGCCCTGTGGGCTGCCGGTTGTGGAGACCCACCTGAAGTCTCTTCAGTCTCCCACCTTCTCTGGAGGGCGAGCCTGGGGTCACTCACTTCTACCTACAGCCCAGCCAGAGCCAACGGTCCTCCTCTGGCTCCGGCACGTTGCACGGCCTCGCCGCCCAGGACGGGCATGACAAAACAGGAGACCCTCTGTCGGTTCCAATGCTGTCACTTGTGTGGCCTGTGCCATGCCAGGCACTGAAGGCCAAGGTGAATAAGATGACTCATCTCAGCCCTTGGAGGGGCCCAGCCCAGCAGGCGAAGGGACCCTCAGATCCTGGCTTTGGCTGCTGTGGCCTGAGGGATAGATGCGACAGGTCAGATCCCTGAGGAGATGGCCTTGGGCTAAGCAGGCACAGGCCAGGTGGAGAGCCTGCCTCCGGGAGAGCTGACAGAAGAGCTGGGTCCTCCTCGCCACTGTCCAGAACCTAAAGAGCATCTGATGGAGGGGTTAGATCAGCCCAGGCCAGGGGCTGTCGTGCTGGACCTCACAGCTACTCGGATGCGACGGCCAGAACTCGGGCTCGCCGGGCAGTATGAGGGGCTGGGTAGGTGGATGTCATTGGTGGAAAGAGCGAAGAAAAAAGGGAAGGGGCCACGCACCATGTTGGATATAGGTGGCAGGTGGGTATCTGTAGAGCCCAGCTCACAGGAGCTAGAGCCTGATTTGCCACTGTTGGCATGTGGAGACTAGCGAAGTGGAAGTGAGTGGTGAGGCCCAAGGGAGGTTGGAGGGGACAGGAGGAGGGAGAGGTGACGGTCACGAGGACCCAGTGGTGAAGGGGATGGCTGAGTAGGAAAACACTGAGATTTGGCCAGCAAGTCTTGTGGGGTGGGTGGAGCCAGGTGTCCCTGGGCTCCTGGGGGAAGCTCTTCAACACCCTCAGCCTCCTAATTTGTGAAACAGACAATGTCCGTGTACTCCCAGGCCTGGAGGACCACGTAGTGGAATGTCCACACTGGGGCGGCTTTGAGAGGGAAACGGTGGAAGCTGTCGAGTGTACAGAGATGACACCCATAACACCAGGCGAGCTGGGCGTCTGGGCCCCTGGAGGGTGGCACTAGGCTTTTCTGTGTTGGTCAGCACCGTTTCTCTCCATGTTCTTTGCTCAGATGCCAAGTCGCAGGGCCCATCTCCATCACCGCAGGAGGCGGGGCGGCTGTGGTCTGAGCACATGCTCTGCAACTCCAATGCCCTTTGAAATCCTGTAATGAGCTGTGTCTGTTCAGCACTGCAACCTCTCAGTGTGGATTTCTGCACTCAGGGAGCTGACAGTCTGATACGGGAAACAGCAATTGTAAGACCATCTCACAAGTACAGTAGAAGGAAGTCAAGCGTGGGGACGGAGACTGCTTTTCTGTCACTGGCTGCAGAAGTAGTCAAATACTCCCTCCCTCGTGGGTCCTGCCAAGGTCTCCCGTTTCCTCCCGTGAGCATAGTGAGGTAATCTTTACACTTTAGAGTTTAAAGCAAATGATGTTTATTTACTTGCCTGACAAACGAGTGCCTGCTACATGCCAGGCACCATGTCAGGTGCCAGGGAAAATAGCCAGCAGCAAAACAAAGTCCCTGCCCTCATAGAATGAGCAGTCGATGGGGGGAAGGAGGGTGTCAGATGGAAGAAAACAGGGTGGTGAGGACTGGGGAGGGTCCCTGCTGAGGAGGCAGAGGGCTGGAGGCGTGAGCCTGTGGATATTTGGGGGGAAAGTTTGACTGGCAGAGAGAACAGCAAGTGCAAAGGCCCTGAGATGAGAACACTGGCTCGGACATGCCAGGACCCCAGTGGCCTGGCAAAGGGGCAGATGATGAAGGAGCCCCGTGGGGCACCAGCCAGAGAGGCGCAGCGGCCTCAGGAAGGGCTGCCAGGGCCCGGTGTTCGGGGACACGTCGGTGACATCCACAGACAGTGGCCAAAAGGCAGACAGTGTGTGGGCTTGCATGGTATTGTTTCAATGGTGTATGGAACGTGACGCGCTTGTTGAACAAAACCAGTTTTTAAGTTGAAAAACAGCACATTTGAGCAACACAAAAGGCGGATGGCACTCAGGATCCCTTCGCAGCAGTGTTCAGACAAAACCCTTGCTACCACAGGTTTTTCAAAATGAGCACGTTGTTGAGATGTGAAGTTCACCCATTTAGTGTACAACTCAGTGATTTTACTGTATTTACTGTCACATCCACCACCACGTTCAAATTCCAGAATCTCCACCCCAAGAAGAAACCAAATCCCTGGTGGTGACCCCACCTCCTGTGGCACGCACCAGGCTGCCTGCTGTGTCAGAATTTGGCTGTCCTGGACACTTCATGTACATGTAACCGGAAGATACGTGACCTTTTGTGTCCAGCTTGTGAGTTAGCGTAACGTTTTTGAAACTCATCCATTTTCTAGCATGAGTCAGTCCTTTTTCTTGCCGAATGTTCTGTGATGAACACGTCACATTTTGTATATCCGCTTATCAGTTCATGGACATGGATTGTCTCCACTTCAGGCTATTAGAACAATGCACCGTGAGCATCACGCATTTTCACGTGAACATGTTTTCAGCTCTCTGAAAGCAGAGCGTAATGGCTGGTGCTCTGGGTCCCAGGGCACCTTGAAGTTTGGGTTTTGAAGGACCACCCCAGCAGCTGCCCCATCTTAACATTCCCACTGGCTGTAGCGTGCATAAGGTTCCAATGTCTCCACGCCCTTGCTGCTTCTTGTCTGTATTAACAAAAAAATCACACCTCACCTCCCTTCAGATTGCTTTGGATTATTTAAATTTTTTAGAAGTACACTAAAAAATTTGAAGATCTTTCTGAAATTGATACAGCTAGCATCTTCCCTTATTTCTATTACAGTCTGCCTATTTATTTAACTAAGTGTCAAGTGTCATTTGTCGTTTTGATATTCAGATTTATAGAAGAAACCAGTACACAGAATTCTGGCACGCTCCTTGGCCGACTCCCCGGGTGTTAACATCCCACCAGATCTTTTTTATTCTATTTTTTTCTGAATGGATTGAGAGTAATTAGAGCAAGATGCTACTTTACCCCTAAACCCTTCCGATGTGTTTGTAAAAACAAGGACAGCGTCTTGCCTAATCAGACACAAACACTGATGCCATACCACTGTCCTGCCTTATGCAGGGTTGGCCAACTGTCCCCATCGCCTGTGCTGAGTGCTTACCTAGCCTACCTGGAAAAGGAAAGCCTGGTCCCTCCCGTGGACCTAACCTAAGCTGGCAGTGCTTTAGCCTTTCAGTGTCTCATGACCTTGGCACTTCTGAAGGTCAACCCCATTGAGAATTGTCTCGCTTTATGATTACACCAGGGTTATGTATTGACTGGCCATGGCCTCACTTATCTCAGTAAAGTTACTGTTCTCCCCTGCATAACCCATAATGTTTTGGGGGAGAGACCTGGAGACGAAGTGAAGACCTGTTCTGCTGGCGAGCTTTAGCATCCTGTGGTAGTTCATTATTGTGGATTCCGTGGTGAGTGTTCACACTTCCCTCAGTCCTTCAACAGTAATTAGAATTCTCGGAAAGTGCAGTCCTTTGCCCGCCACTTATCCAGCCAGTTATGTCTGTATGGACTCGTGGCTATTGGATTCTATGAGTCAGAATCGGGTACCTGATTTTGTTGCTCAGACTGTTTTAGCTTTGGCCGTTGGGAGCTTTGAGGGTCCCTCCTGTGCCCTTGTGACATGCCATGTCCTTTTTAAAGCACTTCCTGACTTTCTGGTGCCGGGAGAGGCTCCAGGCTTACCTACTCCCCAGCTCCTTTTACGGAGCTGGTGTTTAGCCACCAAGATCCGGGTGCTGGGTGTGCTCCCTGTCACCGGGCCCCCTGGGACAGAGCTAGAAAATGCACACACTAGCGCATGTGTACACACATCTACGTTCATTTCTGTACCTCTCAGGCTGGAGAGACACGTGAAAAACCATGAGTTCACTGCGGTCTGACGCCAAGCCCACAGCCCAGTCATTCTCGCCTCCCCTTATTTGTAACTTCTTTCCCTGGCAGTGTCCTCACTGCTCTCATCACCTACATGATGTTTGCCGATATGTCGCAATTGTTTAGGTGTCCACCTCACCTAGTCTCAGAACCGCTGACACCCCTGCGGAGACCTCTACCAGCCAGGGCACAGCACTGGGTTCAGTTACTTCTGTGCTGGGCGGTGGAGTCCCAGGGTCATCACACTGGTGCCCAAAGTGTGCGTCCCTTTCTCCTCTTCCACCCTTTTCACTGTGATTTGTGTCATTTGTACTATACTTAGTTCATCCTTACCATTTGTATTCCATTGCAGCTTCCCCAACATACCCTGCTGGGGGTTTTTTTTTGTTGTTGTTGTTTTTTGTTTGTTTGTTTTAGAGCTGAGCCATCCTGCTGCTGTTATTTTTATTGTTTTGTAATTTGCATATATTAGTTGTTATGG